ATGTGCTCCTGCTGAAGGCCCAGGAGCTCTGTCAGAATCCCCACACACTGCTCTGTGTAAGTCCTGGCAATATTGCCTGCAAGGATGCCAAAAAGACATAAAAGTCCACCTTTTATCAGAGTGAAATAGGAACCATGAGCCCAACTATTCATCACAAACCCATTTTAAAGAAACAGTCTCTCTCTTTTCCTTTCTGACTACCACTTATGAAAGTGTGGTTGAATGAGCTTGTTCTCCACACAAGGGACATGTTCCTTTTTTTGAGGCCATGCCTCAGAAGATTACTGAACTTTCCTTAAATGTAATACATTAAGAAAAGCACTTTAGCATCCCCAGCTTCACCCTTATGAATACTGTAAAAACTCACCTATTTTAAAGCTTACAAAAATAAAACCAAAGCATCCCAAATCCCCTTAACTCTGCCCCCATCACAACTCAGAATAAGCAGGTATTGGAGCTCCTCCACCCACTACAAAGCTTCACTGAACACTACAAGGCTGATTAACAAGATGAAATGATGCAATTTCTTTAAAGCATCTCATCAGAGGACGGGATTCAAGGACTTTCTGCATGACCTGAATGCCAAGGCTTCCAAAAGAACCAGCCCAGTCGTGGTTTAGAAACACAGTGACACAAAACACTGCTGGGGAGGTTGGTCTCTGTACTGCTGCAGCACAGATCAGTGATCTGGTGTTTGCCCAGACACAGTTCAGCAGAGAACAGCCCCCCTGGAAGGTCCAGGCGAGGCACAGCTCTCACCTATGGCGAAGATCGCCCCTTGGGCGAGCTCCACCGACACGTCAGTGCAGTAACCCTTCAGCTCCTCCAGCACCTGCTGCACGTTCTCATCGTTCACCAGCTCACACAACACCTCCATCTTCTGGCATTTGATGTAGTGGGGCTCTGAGTACGAACAGAAGAACTTTTTGTAGTGGCTGCTGAAGTGGCCGGGCAGGCTCCCCAGGATCTGGCGCACGTGGCACAGCGCGGTGAAGCAGAGCTCCCTGCTCTCCGAGGTGCAGGCAGACAGCAGAGGGCCCTTCACCCGCACCAGAACATCTGCCTGCACGTCTGGGTACTCCCTGGCCAGCACCAGGAAGAGCTTGGTGGCTGCCATCACCACGCTGGGGCTGCTGCTTTTGAGGTAACCATCCAGCAGGTTGAGGATGTCGAAGAGTTCCTCCTCGCTGCGGGGTTTGTAGCGCAGCAGGAAGGTGAGCACCTCGCTCTGCCCCCACTGATCCAGGTCAGGCATCCTGCCAGGACAACAAACACAGTGTGCAGGAGTCAGGGAGTGCACGAGGATCTGGGCTGTGCAGAGCAGAGGCCTCAGTCTCTGAGTTTCTTATGGTCTCTGTTCCAAACCAAGGGGGTAGCACACTTTTTATCTCAAGAGAATTGCCCAGTTATTAACTCAGGATCAGTCATGTGCACTCCTACTGGTGTTTAGGCCAGAAAGCAACACTGACAAGAACCCTGGGCAAAGCAATATCCCTCTTTTCCCAGCTCATGCAGAATTATCTGCAGATAAATTCATTTTTTCAAGCAAAGGATAAGTTATACATTTTTCAATGGATCTGGAGAGACATAATAAAAACATACCCGTTTACAAATATATCCTGTGTACTATCACTAAAAAATTAATCACATTAACCTGTAGTTCCAAAACAAACCACCAGCTGAAGCAAAGACTCCCTGGAAAAGCAGGGCATCCCAGATTACTCTTAAGACGTTAGCCTACAAGTCATTTAGTTAATCTTAGTATGGGCACCTCCATCTTTGGGTGCCTGACTAAAGTCCCTTCAAGTCCTCTCCAGAAATGCCCTCTCTGCATAGAAAACACAAGAACAAGAATGAAGGTTCCAGCACCTCCTTAGTATCAAAGACAACAAACCTGTTGAGGAGATGATGGGCAATGGGTTTGTTGATGACAACTCCTCCCTCCTTCTTCAAGATCTCTTCCAAGGCCCTCAGACAGTTCACGACCACAATAGGATCTTGGTCACGAAGCAAACTGTAGAGCTCGTTCACCAGTGCACCATCTGCAAAGGAGCAGAGGTCCTGCTATCAAATTCTGCTGGCACACTGGAGTTTAATCACTGTCTATGAGTATTTGTCACAAACAGAAGATATGGCTTGAACTGGGAGAAGGAGCCACCAAAACTTCCAGCTCTACAGTAACAACTGCCCTCGGCACAGCTTTTCCCTGAATATTTGTAGGGGTGAGAATGGCCCCTGGCTGATCAGAGATTTCAGGGATGGCTGTGTGCTGTGGGAGGCCCTGGAAGAGCAGGGAGGGAAGGGGCACTGCATCGTTAACAGTCTGATACACATGGACCACAGAATCATGGAATGGTTTGGGTTGGAAGGGACCTTAAAGCTCATCTCGTTCTGCCCCCTGCCATGGGCAGGGACACCTTCCACTAGCCCAGGTTGCTCCAAGCCCCATCCAACCTGGCCTTGGACATTGCCAGGGATGGGACAGCCACAGCTTCTCTGGGTAACCTGTGCCAAGGTATCATCACCCTCACAGCCAAAAATTTGTTCCCAATATCCCATCTAACCCTGCCCTTGTCAATGGGAAGCCATTCCCCCTTGTCCTGTCACTCCATCTCTTGTCCAAAGTCCATCTCCAGCTCTCTTAGAGCCCCTTTAGGAACTGGAAGGGGCTCTGAGGTCTCCCTGGAGCCTTCTCTTCTCCAGGTGAGCACCCCCAGCTCTTCCAGCCTTTAATTCCCCTCCACTTCCCCCTCTCTCTGCCCTGCAGCCACAACAACCCAGAGGCAGCACAGCGAGCCCAGCACAGCCCTAGAGAGCACTGAACACGCTCTCAGAGTGTCCCCAGCCCCAGGAGCACCACCCTGAGCCCCAGAACCACCCCCCTCAGCCCAGGAGCACAGCCCCTCAGAGCCCCTTACCCACTTCACAGTCCCCCTGCAGCTTCACCATCTTGGCACAGCCCAGCACGGCCGCTCTGCGCACGTAGGACGCCTTGTCCCGCAGCCCGTTCACGAGGGGCTGCTGCAGGTACTCCTGAATCCCGGGCATCCTGCAGGAGGGCAGGTCAGGGGGTACCAGAGCCTGAACAACCCCAACCCTCTCAGCCTTTAATTCCCCTCCACTTCCCCCTCTCTCTGACCTGCAGCCACGACGACCCAGAGGCAGCACTGTGAGCCCAGCACAGCCCTAAGGCCCGAACATGCTCTCAGCACCTGCGTGTCCTCAGCCCCAGGACCACCACCTCGAGCCCAAGACCACCACCCCAGCCCCAGGACTACCCCCAGCCCCAGGACCACCACCTAGAGCCCAAGA